CAAGGAGCGGCTGGTGGATTCGAACTGCAAACCTTTTGCTTATCAGGCAGGCTCTTAACCACTGTGCCACCAAGGCTCCATCATTCTAAAAGGGACCAGAAAGCACCAGTTGCCGCTGTCTCATCGACTCTGATTCATGGTGACCCCACGTGTGCCAAAGCAGAACTGTGCTCCACAGGGCTTTCAAGAGCTGATTTTTCAGAAGTAGATCACCAGGCCTTTCTTCCCAGGCACCTCTGGGTGGACTTGAACCACCAACCTTTTGGTTAGTAGCTGCACGCTTAACCTTGGACTACCAGCTGATCCCTAGCAAAGGTGTATTTATTAAAAATTTTCTGGTGATGGAAATAACTATTCTCAGTTTTATTCTCTTGGACTCTTCTATTATTTAGCTTGTGTTGAATAAATAAGGCAGTTCTGAGTATCCTGACAAGAGAAAAGAATATCCTTGTAATAATAAATGAAATCAGTTATATTATACCACAGTTTCAAAATATTATGGATTAAAATGAAATCCTACATTTTAACCCATCCTTTCATTTTTTAAGGGGTTCCTGGGTGGTGCAAAGGATTAAAATGCTCGGCTGATAACCGAAAAGTTGGAGGCTCGAGTCCACCCAGAGACGCCTCAGAAGAAAGACCTGGCAATCTACTTCCAAAAAACAGCCATTGAAACCCCTGTGGAGCACAGTTCTACTCTGACACACGTGGGGTTGCCATGAGTCGGAGTCAACTTGACGACAACTTGTTTTTTGTTTTTTTTGTTTTTTAGTTTTTTAAAACTTAACACTTAACGTGAAAACGAAAGCATTACCTTAGAGTCACAGCTAATCGCTCACAGTGTCCTCAAGGTGACCGATACGCTGAGTTCTGCTGTGGGTTTTCTGGGATAGCCGCGGTTTCAGCCGTTCTGTCCTGCTGTTGGACGATAATTTGGTGACGTACACAGCTTAGTCCTCGCGGGTTGTTCCACGCTGCCGTCAGCCTGCACCTGGTCATGTTAAAGGCAGTGGGTGGGATCCTTTATAATTCTCTTTTCTCTTGGGGGCTTCATCTTCTGCAAGGAAGAGCCTTTCAAGTGGGTGTGTATAGACAACTGGTTTTCCTTTATTTCCCTCCTCGCCTTTATGGGCCGTCTTCGAGTGAACAAATGTTTTCTTTACTTGAGTCTTTTGAAGAATTCTTTTTCTTTAAGGAAAAAAAAAATCAGAAGACTACAAGTGGAGGGACATTGAAAATATCATTGAATTAATGCCGAATGCAGTTGCAGGAACTTACATAAACTCTTTGAAAGTTGGATTGACTAGCATTCATGTTTGATCTCATTAAACCAATAAAATAACAAGATGTAATCTTTATATAATTACAAAAGTCCCACTGTCTGATCCTAGCTGGGGGTTACAATAGCATCTCCAAAGGCAAACGTCTTTGTAGCCTAATGTACTCTGACACTTCATCTTTGCTGGCTCTAAGCCAGAACAAGACTTTATTGCAAATACAGTATTTTATTTTTGTTGTCAAGTGGTTTAGCTAGGGAAGGCTATTGTAACCCCACC